ACCTGACTTGCAGGGCTCCATGGGTCAGGGTAATGTGCAGAAGCCCTCCGATGGCGAGCCTGAGAGGGCTTTTGTAGAGCGGAGTCAGATTCCAGGCAGTGGGGAAGGCACAAGTGGGCCCACATGATGTCATGCAGCAGCATGCTGGGAAATCCTTCTCCAAGCCCACCACCGGGGAAAGGTTAGGAGTCCACACTCTGACTCCCCGGGAGTAAAGGATGGCGCTGGGATTGTCCCGAGAGTGTTTACCTTCTGGAAAAGCATTGTAATCGTTCAGCTCCAACGGACAGTACACAGTGGGAAACGGGCCGTCACAAGTTGTGCCCCAATCCACGAAGCTGCTGTAACCAAAGCAAACACAAGAGGGCCTGAATTCAGAAACAATGTCAGCGAGCAAGCAAAGAAAGTGAAGGACACTTTCCTAGGGGAAGGCGCCGGGAGGACTAGCATCTGTTCTCTTTACTACCCTTGCCCAGCATCCTCATCTCGGCCAGTCCCTCAGTGTTGGAGAGGAAAGCCCGACGGAGGGACTAGACACTCAGACCAGCTGCGGACGATCAGCAGGACACGGGGCCTGGGCTGGGCACACACTTTTGTAATCACTGCGTCTACCGAGCTGACCGTGGAAGAATACCTTTTAGGGGTCAGAGCACACACTTGAAGTTGTGATTTTAAAATATTCCACACCTGGAATGTCCCCCCTTCCACTCCAGAGTAAGGCCAGTGTCCCCCGAGGGAAATAGCAGCTATGAAGAAAATATGGTTCATGACAGAGACTTGGGTCACTTACTGCAGAAGCCCGGTTCTCCCAGGGGGGAATCTATCGGAAAGAACCAAGTCAACACTGTTCGGATGGGCTGACCAGCAACAGCATAAGGCAAGTGGACTCTGGGACAAAGCCACGGCTATTAGCATCGACTCAGGACTGACTCATGGTATCATATCATCGTGTAACTCTCTTTCAGTTATCTTAACGATCTGATCTTTTAGGTCGTTAAACATGTTGACAGTAAATACCATTAGAGGGTGGGAATTCTGAATGTCTTTTTCCTTCAAATTTGCCTGACACATTCATAGATCATCGTTGCAAAGGAAAATAACAACATGGTCTCCCACGGCATTGCTTTTCTTCCCTTTCTTCCCGTGCCTGGTCTGTGATTGTCTAGAACCATCGCAATGCAATTCCGAGAGGCAGACAGACGCACAGCTGACGGGAACCGCGGTCAGGCAGCTCGGCCCTAACCTTCGTCCCGATGAGCTACTCAAGGCACACGTTAGGAGACGCGCCGCCCTACCTGTTATGCACCGGGGCTGGCTCCCGCATCACACAAGGCACGCTGCTCTCCAGGCTGCAGTTGAGCCTGCCGGTCAGACACACCGGCTGGGTGGGCCACAGGTCTCCGGGGGCGTACAGACCTAGACAAGAGAGCAAGGGCCCTCAGCACTTCCCTTGCCCTCCAAAAACACTCTCCGATGTAGCCCACATACTGGTCTTCCCCAAATCTCAACTGGGCAAGTTCCTCATTCCCCAAACAGGGAGTTCTTACTGAAGACCACTTTACTTGTAGTGCGTTGGCAAAGAGAGCCGACCCACAAATGACAGATCTGCATCGGTAATTTGATCAAACAAAACCACACCCAACTCACTGCCCTCCAGTCAATGCTGACTCTGCTACCACAGACTGGAACTGCCTCTGTGGGTGTCCCGAGACTACTTACGGGCGTAGAAAGCCCCATCCTCCTCTTGTGGAGCCGGCTGGTGGTTTTGAACTGCTAACCTTGCAGTTAGCAGCCCAACACATAA